GATTCTTTCCAAGATCTGACTTCCGTGGGACTGGCAAACTTGTTAAGTTTGTGAGAAATTAAGTTGAAAGTAGCGTAAACTGCATCTTTTATCTTGAGTACGTAAGAGCTCCTATAATTAAGAAAATATTCCAATGTCTATAATATAGATATTAAAAATTGTAAATTGAATTTAGTTTTTATACATTAAAATTTTGATAAAATTTATTACAATTGAATATCCAGCATTCCAGAAATTATCCCATCCACTTGAATCTACAATTTCTTGTAATTTTTTGGGATAATCAGTTTGAATTTTTGATTTGAAAACACGTTCAATATCTGCATCTGACAGATTTTTATTTTCTTGAAACAATTGATGACAAGCTTCTGTCATTGGAACCTAAAAGAAATATTATAAAATAGTTATATTTATATCTAACTAAGATAAAAATTTTATATTATTACCTACATCCCAACACAAATGTTTTGTATCCTTTCTTTTCAAACGTTGCTTTACTTTTCCCTCCAGTTGATGTACTTGATTATTAGTAGTTAATGATGGTTCTTTTGTTAAAACTGCAAGCAAGTTTTGTAGGAGTTTATGATTTTCATAAATATCACTTTTTAACTCTGCATATTTTTCCTGCAAAGTTTCAATTGTCATAAGTTGCTTCAGCTGCTATTAGAGGATTTTTTCAAGAATAGAATGAGTATTTGCATCAAGTTTAACACCTAAATTAAAAAAAATAAATATAAAATTATAATTTGACATAATATTTATCAAAAATAACTGCTTACATTTAGATGGTAAATTACTAAGTTCATGCAATTTTTTACGCTTAAGCTGTGCATCTTTAATTGTAAATACAGTTTAGATAATCAAAATGATACTATATATAGAAAAAATTTTTGTAACACTCACTTGTCCTTTCGGTTAGATGAGATGTTGATAAATCAGGTGTATCAGATTCACTGTTTATCGATTCTCTTTGATTTTCGCTAAATATTAATAAATTTCATTATTAGATATAATTTTAATGTTATAAACACCTTACAAAATGCATATACCTTTTATTAGTATTATTAATCATAGAATCGTTCAAATCATTACTATCAGATACAATAGTTACAACCGGAAAATCTTGAGAAGTAGCTTGATGTTCAATATGTTCTTTTGATAATGATATGTCTTGCGATATGGAAACTCGAGAATTTTTTTGTTTTTTATTTTCTTTCAAAT